CTAAACCCCAAACCTTAGGCCCTAGGCCCTGAACCCTAAACCCGAAACCCTATAAGCCCTAAGCCTTGCACCCCAAACCCAAAGCCCTGAACCCTAAGCCCCAAGCCCTAAACCCCAAACCGCAAACCCTAAACCCTAAACCCAAAGCCCTGAGCCCTAAACCCTAAAACCCTAAACCCAAGTCTCAAATCCTAAGCCCTAAACCCAAAGCCCTAAGCCCTAAACCCAAAGCCCTAAGCCCTAAACCCTAAAACCCACTTTTAAAAAAATACCCTAAAACCCTAATCCCAAGTCTCAGAGCTTCAGGTATCATTGCGACGCGGCCAGGGCCTGGGATCCCAGCTTTGAGGCTTCGCTGGGCTTTCGGGTTTAGGGTTTAGGGATTAGGGTTTAGGGCCTTTAGCGATTAGGGAATAGGGTTTATAGGGTTTAGGCATTGGGGTTAAGGTTTTAGGGTTTATGGATTAGGGATTAGGGTTTAGGGTTTAGGGTTTAGGGTATCTCAGCCTTCATGGAAACAAAGTAAAGTCCCGAACCCAACACGAGATTCTTCTTTTGCACGGTGCACCCTCGGTTCAAGGCATCTGTGTGAGTGCTGTGGCCTTGGACAATGGGGCTGCCGGCTTGCCACTGGTACGGTAGGGAAGGCAATGCCGAGCATCGATCTGCATTGGCCATGAATGACAGAGCAACCATCGCAATTCAGGAGGATTGCGACGGTGTCCTCCATGGTTGCTCTGTCATTTATGGCGGACTGGCTCAGGCTCACTTGCCAAAGTAGCTGTTGGTGCCGCTGCTTTTTCGCCTCCGTGCCCATCGAACACGGTAAGGCCAGGTACGCGTATTCGGCAACGTTTTCCTGGATTGCGACTGCACACGTCCGTCTGCGCCAGATTCAGAAGACCACCATTTTGGCATCAATAGGGAGCAGGCCGCGATTCATGCCTTCCACGCGGTGCTTGGCAAGCATATTTCCTTCCGGAACATCATCAGGCACTTTGCGCAGGAGACTGCCGTGCAGTGATGTGTGAGTCCACGAAGGCGGCCACCACCATTCCCAGGAGAAGTTCGAGCTGAAGAAGCAGAGGCTAACGGACTGTAGTCATCTGGAATGCGGATTTGTTGATGGCAAAGTGCAAGTCGGTGACATAACGGACAAAACGCGACAACAGATCGATGGGCTGACCTACGCACCCTGGAGGTCACGATCGTCGAAGTAAAGGAGACCACAGAGTTCCTGATCCTGGCAACAGATGGGATTTGAGATGGCATTCAGGATCAGACGGTGATCACCACGGCCAGGAAGGTTCCTTCCTGGCGGTGGTGATTGCCGTCTGGTCTTGTATTCCGTCCCACCGTCTGTGGCCAGGATGAGAAACTCCGTCGTCTCCTTGACCTCCACGACTGTGACCTCCGGTGTGCACATGAGGCCCTGGATGATGTTTCTGTCTTGTCCGTGAGTCGTGAGACACGGTCTCCGGAAGCAGCCGTCGAAGCTGCCGGCAAGGTCACCAACCACGCTGCGGTGATCGTGTCAACATCCCAGAGCCCCCCCCTAAAGGGACGCAGACCGGACACAAGATCCAGGGCCTCATGTGCACACCGGAGGTAACGATCGTGGACCGAGTTTCTGATCCTGGCCACAGATGGGATTTGGGATGGGATTCAGGATCAAACGGCCCAGAGCCGCCCCCGAAAAGGGATGCGGCTCAGAGCCGCTTCCAGCGGAGCTCCTCGACGGAGTGAAGCCACGGATTCATTTTGCAAGTGCATGTCGTAGATCCCTCGCCGGCATCGCTCTGCAACAATGCAAGCACCCATGGCCTCCATTGTAGTTCCGTTTTGGGGATGCCTTATAGAATCCTTAATATGTAATTGGTTAAACCAAAAAAAAACTACAATGGAGTTGCTCCCTTCTCCCAGGCCCTCCCCGGACTCAGGCCAAATGCATTCCTTGTCTGTTGTCGCAAGCCCAGAAGCTTGCAAACCCTGCTGTGCATCAGTGAAGGGTTCTACAGATCCTCCTGCTACGGTTTTTTGGTAGGCCTTCGTATATCATTGTACATTATGCCTAAACCCTAAACCTAAACCCTAAACTCTAAACCCTAAGCCCTAAACCCTAAACCCTAAACCCTAAAGCCTAAAGCCTAAAGCCTAAATCCTAAAGCCTAAAGCCTAAACCCTAAACCTATAGTATCTTATAGTATGTAATAATGTAATAGTCTATATCATAGGGGGTTCAACACCTCAGATCGACAAGGTTTCAGGTTTCGGAGGCTAGCTCCCCGACAGATCAGCGAACAACTTCAGCTTTTTCGAGTGCCTACATTAGGTATTTAGGGTTTGGGGCTTAGGTTTTAGGGTTTAGGTTTTAGGGTTTAGGGTTTACGTATATATTTCTAGGGCTTGGGGTTTAGTATATATTTCTACAACCCAATTGCGGAGGTTTCGTACTAGGTGTACTCAAATCGCAACTGCAACCTTGAAGCCCAAACCAGAACGCAAAGTCCTTCTCCCCGACGGCCCCAAGCCAGGAAACCCTAAACCCCTAAAACAAGAAAACCTATCCCACGACTTTGTGGTTTCCGAGGCAGCGCCCAACGAAGGCAAAGGGGTCGACTTCCCCGCATTTTTGGCCGAGGGCTCAGGAAAATCGGCTGGAACAAGGCCGTGCTGGTTGGGCGGGATGAAGGTTTGCAGTTTGAAGGTTTAGGGTGACATAGGGGCCTTACTAATAGGGTTTAGGGTTTAGGGCCTATACTATTTTGGGGCTTCCTCGTTATAGTTATAGTATACAATAACCCCAAAGCCCTATTCTAAGTATTCGGGCCCCTACATTAGGGGCCTCACCATAAGAAGACCGAAGACTTACCGATTATATCTCTGTTCACTCTTCAGAGCTACTACATACCCGAAAACCCTGCTCGAATTATTCAGGCCTCTACATTGAAACATTCAGTGTTAAGAGAGCGTGCTGGAGCTTCCTGGCCGATCTTCTGGCTGCGACTCGCTTTGTGTAGCGGGACCCAAGGCCCAAGACCCTCGCAGCCTCGGTTTAGGGTTGGGTTGGACTGTAAATCCCTGAAGCATAGCTGCCGCAGCAGCCAGAAGCAAAAGACTTTCCAAAGCTTCCTTCTCTTTAACCCTGAGCCACAGAACGAAAGGCTTTATGACGTCTTTGGCAGATGTAGGTAGCTCGGCAGAGCATTATTCTCAGCGAAATCGAGCGTTAACCCTAGAAAGACTCTTACAGGGCCAACATCCGAAAATGCGTGGGCTATTCGGGATTCCGAGTAAGTTTAGGGACGGTAATTAGCCATGCAACAACCTGACAACGCCCATGATGAGCCCCTCCATCTATTCAGGCTTTCATCTGCGATGCGCAGGACAAGTGTGCCATGCGCCGCTACACGTCAAAAGGCCGGGATTCCGTTTATTTCGGGCTTGCGACCCAGGGTGCATAGCACGTAGGGACTGAGGATGCTGGGGCGGGGATTTAGGTGCTGTTTCGGGGTCCAGGGCTAGGACTTCCGGAGATCTAGGCTGAAGTTGAGGCCGAAGAGGTCCTGCTCGCTGTGCTGGGTGTCATTATGAAGCGTGCAATTGCCACAGCTCCATACTGGGGCAGGGGTTGGGAGTTCGGTGCATGGCCGCGGTGATTGCAGTGTGCATGATTATTATTTTAGTGTTTTCCTGTAATTGTGAGGATGGTGTTATGCTATCGTGTGTACTAAAGATGGTGGGTGAGTGCACACGCGCACACAAGCAAACGACCACACAAACACAAGCAAGCAATCCAAGAGCAAGAGCAAGAGCAAGAGCAAGAGCAAGAGCAAGAGCAAGAGCAAGAGCAAGAGCAAGAGCAAGAGCAAGAGCAGGAGCAGGAGCAGGAGCAGGAG